GAATAACTATAAGAAAGTGAAAATCAAAATCAACAAACAACTATGAACTAGAGACACTCTATGGAGGGTGGAGGGCAGGGAGGGGAGGGATTGGGGTCAAAATAAGGGGGGTGCAATTGAATGGGGAATATAAAAATAAAATTTATTTAAATAAATAAATAAATAAATGAAAACAAAAAACAAAACAAAACAAACAAACAAAAAAACCCAAAAGCTTAAGCTAGGCACTTGTTTTACAATAAAAACCTGATTGTCAGCTCTCACATATATTTCCTCATCTAATCTACTCTTTCTTTCCTCCTTGCCTCCTTCCTTCCCTCTCTTTCTCCAATTTCTCATTCTTTCTTTCTTTCTTAAGAAATATCTGACATAGGGGCCTCCCCCGTGGCGCAGCGGTTGACCTCTGGGCTGCGAGACTGCCCGCAGCCTCTGCAGCGCCAGTTCGATCCCCGGCTGCTGGGCGAGGGTCCCACATGACGCTACAGACCTCTCCTGCCGCCTGCTGCGCCCCTCAGCCGTGTCCTCCATCATTCTGCCTGTTCTGCTCCCCACTCTGGCTCTGGTGAATTCTCTCACCTTCCTGCGCTTCTGACTGTACCCAGTGCTTGCATAAATAAATAAATAAAATCTTTAAAAAAAGAGATATATCTGACATATATAAATTGTATTTTTTAAGGTGTACAATATGGTCCTTTAAATACATGTTTATATTGTGAGATCACCAATGTCAAGCTCAATAACGTATCACTTACATGTAGTTACATGTATGTATGTGTGTAGAAAGGATTTAAGATTTAGCATCTTAGAAAATTTCTTATTTTTGAAATTTATTTATTATATTTTTATATCATTGTTCATTTCTTGGTCATATTGTAACAGGGTGGTCCCCAGGAAAGGGGGAGTTTCAAGGTTCCCTGCCCCACCCAAATGGAGGGTGGAGCTGAGTAGGGAGAGAAGAAGCTGCAGAGGAGACTGAGAAGGAGGGAAGCAGGATGGAGCCAGAAGGAGACCTGGAGGAGGTGCATGGAGCCTAGAGACCCGTGAAGAAATTGCGCTTGCCTTTTGGTTGTGGACTGGGTGACACAGATGTGGGTGAGACCCGTGGAAAGGTGCCAATGGCAGCTTTTATCTTGATTTTGATTTTGCTCTTTTCCTTCTGGGCTTGTCTGGTTGTTTCTGGCCCTTTGCTGTGGGTCCCCGCTGGAAGATGCTTTAGACTTGTGGCAGGCTTTGGGGCCTTGCTCTGGACCAATCCCATTTGGATGGAGTTTACCCACGAGGGGACGGGTAACCTTGGGTGCTTGATTTAGAAACTATATTCTTTGCCTTTTTCTGTATTGTTTCCTAATTGTATTAAAGTTCCTTCCCAGTAGTCTCATATGTTTTGTGTTGATGCGGCGGATGGCAGAACCCATTTAGAATAGGCAGGTTTGCAGAATTTGGGCTGCCCCTCTCCCTGCCCTATAACAATCTTAGCAAATTTCAAGTGTACAATGCTGTACTGCTAGCTACCATCACCATGCTATATATGCTATATATTAGATCCAGTATCATTCATCTACTGTATTTTAAGTTTTCTACACTTGGCCAACATTCCCTCCTTTTCCCCCATCCCTGCATTTTCCTTGGCCACCACCATTCTTCATTCAACATTATAGTGGAGGTCTTACCTAGTGCAGCAAGGCAAAAAAATAAATCAAAGGTATAAAAACAGAAAGAAGTCAAGTTGTATTTGCAGAGAACACGCTTGCTTACACAGAAAACCCAAAAGAATTTGTGAAACAACTACTAGAACTAATAACTGAAATTAGAATACAAGAACAATACATAGGAATCAATTATATTTTTATATATTATCAGAAAATATATGAGGTATTAAAAATCCTATATATAATAGTGTCTAAGAGAAAATATTTGGGAATAAAAAAAGCATGGAAATTGTTATAATTCCGTCAGATGCTATATTTCCTTCATTTGGTATTTTTCTATTAATCAGTTCCCTTTTCTGCCACTGTGTTCAGTTATTCTGTGCTGCAAGCTGGAGTTTCCCTAGAAATATCAACTACCCTGACTGTGATGGTCTATGTCATTTTTAGTGAGTTTAAGAGGAAGAAGGACTAATCCTCACAGCAGAGCTCCCAGCAACCTCCGTGGCGTCCCCCTCCTGACTGCCTCTGCTGCAGGAAATTTCTTTGGTCAAGGTTCATCTCTGCATCCTTAGTGAAGTGTGGATCTGGAAGGAGGTCATTTTAGTAGCTTGGATCCACCAGCTTTAGGACTTTTACCAAGAAGTGTCGTAGGTGTGAAATTTTAGGACTGATGGGCCAGCCATAATTTGTCCCCACTGATTCTCTACCCTAACATACACCACGCTATTATTACCCTGTGACACCTGGACCTCTAGATTGGGTTTTTAACTTTGATTTCTGCTGCAAAGGGACAAATGGAGATTGCTTGCCCCAACCCACCCACTGCCATAATGCAAAGGGGAGGCAGCAAGAGCTTTTCAAGTTTTCTCCAAATTATCATTTTACTGGCTCCTCTGTCCTGTTGCTCTTGGTCTAGAATGCAGACCTCCACTTTAAACATGAGGCCACAAACAATCTTCAGTCACTCCAGGGATCCGTTATTGTTTTTTTAAGCTCCTGGAATACATGCTTCCCTTTGACTTTTATAGATTATGTAGAATTGGTTGAAGAAGCCAGGATTCAGTGCTTGTCTTCCACGTAGTTAGGAACCAGAGGTTCTGGGTTAGAATGTATTAGTTTATCAACTAGAAATGCAAGCTAAAAATTGAAATAGGGAAAATAAGTAGTTTCATGTGAGTTGATTTTTCACAGCCTTTAAATTATTACTGTGAGTTATTCATAGATGGTGTTAAATGATCTGCTATTGATTCTACTCTAATGAGAGAACTACAAAGAAAATAATCTCTCAGATCCCATGGATTTAACCACAGGAATTCCAATTAGCTATGAACATAACTTTTGGCTTATTTCAGAGTTTGGGATTTGTGTGTTCAACCACAAAATCAGGAAGGATTTTGCCACTTGAACAATGATAAAAAAATGGTTAGATACATTTATTATCTAAGGGATGAGTTATCTCTTTGGGAGCAGTGAAAGAGGAAACCCCAGTAGAGTTATTATAAACTTGAAGTTCACAATAAAATTAAAAATCATAAAAAGACCCCTATGCTTTAAGAATCAGGTGAAGTCAATAATCATGTTAGTTCAAAAAAGCTTGTTTTGGGTCAAGTTGGCAAATAACATGACTCTGTTGTCAAAATTAATGCTGCAGAAAGTATAGAAACAAGAAAAAAATGTGGATTTTAGGAACAAACAATAAGGACAAACTCTGAGGAAACACTGGGAGGTTGATGCTGTCATCCACTTGGAGGTGGGGAGTGATGCCTGCCTGCTTCAGAGGTGGGGATAGTGTGCCTCATATTAGCACTTCTGGTGCCTTTTTTTTGTGCCCTACAATACCATCCTACTATTCTACTTGAATAACCTATGACTTTCTTCTCATCAGTCAGAATTTCATTATCTAGTGCCTGCATAAATCCTAGGACACTCCACCCCATTTCTCTCCTTTGGTGAAACTGGTAGTCATCAGTAGATGCTAAGTACCTTGGTCCAATAAATAAATCACCAGGAGTTCCCAAATTGTGAGGTTGTAATTGTATCATTTCTTTGTCATTTATCAGCGGGGATACTTTTATTTATTTGTTTATTTGCCGGTGATTTATTATTTTTTCAATTAAACTTTTTTATTTTCTTACATTGTTGTTCATTTTTGTAGAATATTTGATTTCTCCCCTCAGGTGTAGTCCCCATCACTACCACATCACCTGTGAACCATCTCCATAATCCCTTGTGCTCTTTGCTCCCCTGCTGCATGCCTCAGATCTATGGTTTGCCTGCAGGATTTGTCTTTTTTTTTTTTTTTTTTTTTGACCCTTTGTTCTGTTTCCCTATATTCCTCCTATACGCGAAACCATCTGAAATTTTTCTTTTTCCTTTTTACTTAATTTCCCTGAGCATAATCCCTTCTAGCTCCATTCACATTGCTGTGATCGGCATGAGTTTATCTTTTGCGATTTCAGCTGGGATACGTTTTTAATAAGAGATGCTTCGGCTCAACTACTGCTTGTTTACCTAGCAGGTTTCATCTGGGGAGGGGAGAATATATACCTGATTCTTTTCATTTACTTATTGGTTACCAGCATTAATAGAATTGTTCCCAGCAACTTTCTTAAGGAGAACAGATAGTGCTTGTAATATTATTATGAATTCACGGACATCGATATTTGATGGGTATGTGGATCCACTGGAATTATTATTCATATTGAAGCTCCAGTAGTACCATCATTGGGCAGAGGAAGACTATTCAAGTTGGTTCCTGATTATATTTGACATTGATAGCTTCCTTGCTATTTAGTAGAGTGCCAGGTTCATCTTCTATATTTCTTGCCCTAGACATGAAATCATCCATTTCTATAAGAAGCCCAACTTTCTCTAGGTAAGAAATAGCATTTCAAGACAACAGCCATGGGACTCATTGTTCATCTGGGAAATAGTTTTAAAAGATAAATACCTTATAATTGCATACTGATACCTTTAATTCAATTGAAGACTGGCTTTGCAGTAGCTAAATTGTGATGCAAATATATTTTATTAGCATAAACAAGTTACTTCTTTCCTCATGGCTTCCAGATACTACGACTATCTATAATGATGAATGGATAACCACATTGATATAAAATTGCCTTCCAAAAACTATAGGTTATCACTGTATTTTAGGGTGGACTTTCAGGTGTGGGTATAGTTTTCTGTGACTTCATGCCAAGATATTATCAACAGATATAATACTGGAGCATTTAAAAATACTTTGTTTTTATTTTCCAGTTGTCTTTGGCCTTATAAAATTGATTTAGTCAAAATTGAAGTGTTCCTATCAATCTACACAGGACCTCTGCACTTGATGCCAGGCTGCCATTCAACTTAGGATGAGTCGAAACCAAATTGAAGGTATGAACTTCATGTGGCCGGTCACTAGTGAATTTTCCTTTATCCCTTAGGAAGTACAATCTCTGCCTTGTACTGAAATTCAATCTCTATCCAGCTAAAGAGAACTGACAAAGATCCAATATGCAGGAAGCTGTGGTGCAGATGGTGGTGTTCTATGTGGTATAAGAATTTTTGGTCCTGTTTCTGTAAAGAACTAAAATGGGATTCTTCTTGACTCAGTTCATACTGATGAGACAATATAATAGATGTCAGATACCAAAGTGAGTGTGAAACTGAACATTTGACGAGTGTTTTCTAAAGTACTAAGATCTCTCTTTGTGTTCTTTCATTTCGAAGCCACAACCTCATGAAATGGGTATCACTGGATTGCATTTTACTACTGACAAAAAAAATAAAATAAAATAGTGCCACAGTGTTTGTGGCTTACCCAGTATCTCCAGCAGATTCCTTTCCATCTTTAGGCCCTGACTTGAACATTGGCGTTCATAATTTTATGCTGGTATCTTACATGGGTGATGCTCTGGTATTCTCTTCTCCAGCACAAGAGAGCAGAAGTGGTATGAACCTGGCAGTTCACATGTAAAAGTTTCCTGCAAACATTCACTGAGGAAACTGGGCTATTGTGTCTAAAGAAGTAATTTTCAGAAACACTCCAATGACAGGCACATTAGGTTAGGACGTAAGTCTGTTACTAGTATTGGAGGTTGAAGCCTTTAAATAAGTTAAGTTTATTGGATTTTTTTTTTTTAAGACAGCATGGTTTCTCTGAAGCAAGTGATTCTTGGAATTGTGCAGAGGCTCCTGTAAAAGCCACTAACCTTCTGGGTGTTAAAGGATGGCTAAACGTGGAATGAGCTTTCAATTCCCCATACTGTGTGGAATATAACGAATGGTAGCACATTTCATTTAAAGAAGTTGGATTTCTTGTGGGTGGGAGGAAGGGAGTAAACTTTTGGCTCCAAATCTGAAATATAAATGAGGGACTCTCCATTTTTCCACAAGTTCAACTTTGTGACGAAGATGGCTGGGCTCTTCTTTCTGGGTTTCCTGGTCAATTAAGAAGGCAGCAGGCTGAATTTGAAAGTGTAGGGTAAGGAAAAAATGTCAGGCTTTTCTGCCTTCCCGCCATCAGGATAGATGATGGATCCTTGCAGTCCTGAATGCATGCCTGATGGTGGGCACCTGGAATAGGGTGTGGGCATAGGTAGATGGGGTTCACCTGGGCTAAGACTGGGCTTTTTAAGGGCAGCATCACGGGGATGCCAGCAGAAGCTGAGAAGAAGCCAAGAATGAACGGAAGCAGGAGAGCAGAGAAGCAGAGAGAACACAAGAGATGGCCGGAGAGCCCAGGTAGAGTGGAGATTTGCTGGGGGCTGGGAGGACTGCCAGCCTCCCCTCAGCACCCCTACCTGCCATGTACCCGGTAAATCTCAATAAAAGCCTGAAAAGCCACTGAGGACTCTGACTCCTCCTTTACCCGGTCTGCTGGATCAGAAAACCTGCACTGTGCGCATTCCTGCCTCTACAGAAAGGCTGTCTCCAACTGAAGTCACCAGGGTGTCTGTGAGTGAACATCCAGTGATGTTTTGAACTAGGCCATCAGGCCAAAGTGCTGGTGGTTTGTTGAAAACAGTTCTACAGGATGCACTTGCCATGTGGATAAGCCAAGAACAGAACTTCACAATTCAAACTAGTTTCAGAATTCTAGTTCAACCTTGAGAAGATTTCTTTAAGAACCTCTGAATTTTACATGACAACATATATTGTGAATCTCCAAAGTGGGATCGGCAGCGCCTTTTTTGCTAATGTTTTGTGGCACCCTAATAACTCCCACAATGGTATTCTGTGCCATATCTGGGAAACAATGCTGTAGCTGTGGAAGTTAGAGGAAGTACGTACGGCAAAGCAAAATTTAGTGCATAATTCGTAAAACAAGAAGACATTGACAATACAACAGATGTTTAACCTGATGCCCCATGTATTACTCAGAAAACATACTGCAAAGCTATTATGTGCCAATTTTTCTCCTAAGTGGGGATAAAGTGGTAAAAAAGCAGAATTCCTGTTTACATATATATTGCATCCTAATGGGCAGGAGCAGTAAATAAAAACATCATTGTAAGGTCAGGAACGGACACAGTGCAGGTTTTCTGATCCCATGCAGACCGGGTAAAGGAGGAGTCAGAGTCCTTAGTGGGTTTTTGCAGGTCTTTTATTGGGGTTCACCAGGCATATGGCAGGCAGGGGTGCTGGGGGGCCGGGAGGCTGGCAGTCCTCCCAGCCCCCAGCAAATCCTCACTCTATCTGGGCTCTCTGGCCTTCTCTGCTTCTGCTGCTTCTTCTCTGCTTCTCTCTTGGCTTCTCTTTTGGCTTCTGCTGCTTCTGGCGTCCCTGTGACGCCGCCCTTAAAAGTACAGTCTTAGCCCAGGTGAATCCCATCTTCCTATGCCCACACCCTACTCCAGGTGCCCACCATCAGGCATGCATTCAGGACCTCAAGAATCCATCATCTATCCTGATGGCAGGAGGGCAGAAAAGCCTGACATTTTCTTTACCCTACAATCATCTATCATGTAAGTGCTTTGGAGAAACATATAAGCAAGATAAAGAGGGTGTGATGATGGGATACTACTTACATCAGGTACATAGAGAAGCCTCTCTCTTACGGAGACATTGGAGCAACAACATCAGGAAGAGGAACATTGAGCCAGGCAGATATTGAAGAGAAGAGTATCCAGGTTGAGGACTAAGACTCTGAAGCTTGAGAATGTTTCCAAGTCAGAGGCCAGTGTGAGTGGATGTGTGTCTGCAAGGAGGTGAGTGAGGTGGAGAGTCTGGGTCATGTGATGCTTTGCAAATGTGATAAGGATTTTTAAAAAAGATTTATTTATTTATACAAGCACTGGGTACAGTCAAGTGCAGGAGGGTGAGAGAATTCACCAGAGCTAGAGCGGGGAGCAGAACGATGAAATATACTGCTGAGAGGAGCAGCGGGCGGCAGGAGAGGTCTGTGCACCATGTGGGACCCTCGCCAGCAGCTGGGGATCAAACCAGCGCTACAGAGGCTGTGGGCAGTTTCACAACCCAGCGCTCAACCGCTGCGCCACCGGGGAGGCCCGTGATAAGGAATTTTAAAGATTATTTTGAGCAAGACTGGAAGTCAGTGGAGGCTTTTGAGATGAGGAATGACATGATTTCAATTTAATCTTTATTCTAGATGTGGAGAAAACTGTATGAGACTGTTTTAGATGGGGAACCAATGGTTAGTTTCTGGACGTTTTAAATTTGAGATTCCTGTGAAGCTTTTGAGTAGAGACACCAGGATTTAATTCCTGCCACCAATTCACCTGTGCACCATCACCATCCTTCCTTGTGCTTTTCCCACCCTGTTTTAATCTCCCTTCCCTACAGACTGTCTCTGATTTATAGTTACCAGTTGATTTTGTTTTTTATTTTATTATTATTGTTATTTTTTTCCTGATCCCTTATTTGGCTCCCCTATATTCCTCCTATAAGTGAAACCATCTGATATTTTTCTTTCTCTTTCTGGCTTAATTCACTGAGCAGGATCCCTTCTAGCTCTATCCATGTTGCTGCAAATGGCATGAGTTTATCTTTTTTGATTGCTGAATAGTGTTCCATTGTATATTTATACCACATTGTAGGGTAAGGTAAAAAGTATCAGGCTTTTCTGCCCTCCCACCATCAGGATAGATGATGGAACCCTGCGGTCCTGAATACATGCCTGATGGCAGGCACCTGGAATAGGGTGTGGGCATATGTAGATGGGATTCACCTGGGCTAAGACTGGGCTTTTAGGGGCGGTGTCGCGGGGATGCCAGCAGAAGCTGAGAAAGAAGCAGAGAAGCCAAGAAAGAAGGCAAGAAAGAAGCAGAGAAGCCAAGAGCAGAGAAGCAGAGAGAACCCCGGAGAGCCCAGATAGAGTGAAGACTTGCTGGGGGCTGGGAGGCCTGCCAGCCTCCTGGCCCACCAGCACCCCTGCCTGCCATATGCCTGGTAAATCCCAATAAAAGCCTGCAAAAGCCACTGAGGGCTCCAGGACAACTCCTTTACCTGGTCTGCTGGATCAGAAAACCTGCACTGTGGCAAGTCCTGCCCCTACACACATCTTGATCCAGTCATCTATTTTTGGGCATTTGGGTTGTTTCCATATCCTCCCAATTGTCAATAGTGCTGCAATAAACATAGAGGTGCAAGTATCTTTTTGAATTAATGTTTTTGTGTCCTTTGGGTAGATCCCTAGGAGTGGAATTGCTGGGTCAAATGGTAGTTCCGTTTTTTGTTTTTTTTTTTTGATCTTTTGGCAATGACACTTTTTTTTTTAAAGATTTATTTATTTTTATACGAGAACCGGGGTACAGGCCAGAAGCACAGGAGGGTAAGAGGATTCACCAGAGACAAAGTGGGGAACAGAACAGGCAGACTGAAGAAATACACTGCTGAGGGGAGCAGTGGGTGAGTCAGGAGCAGTCTGCTCGCTGGTAGTTTCATTTTTAGTAATTTGAGGAACCACCACACCACACAGCTTTCCATAGTAGCTGGACCAGTTTGCTTTCCCACCAGCAACATAAGAGTTCCTTTTTCTACACATCCTCCCCGACATTTGTTGTTGCCTGTTTTTTTAATGTGTGCTATTCTCACTGGTGTAAAGTGGTATCTCATTGTGGTTTTGATTTGCATTTCCCTGATTATAAGTGATGTTTAACATTTTTTCATATACCTGTCAGCCACAAATATGACTTTTAATATTCATTGAATATTCAACTCATTTACTATTCTTGTGGAGTTGCTTCTTGTTATTTTAGTACCCATCTAACCTTTCGAGAATGTTGATTCTTGACTCTTGTCTTAGGAGATAAACTTCTACTCCACTTTGTATCATCTTAAAAATCTTACTAAACTGCTCTGTAGCTAGGTAAGCAAGCTGATTGTTATGCGATTGGTGTACATGTTCTTTTGGGATGATCACTGGGACAAAA